TACAATCTTACAGACAGCAAACTTTCTTTTTGTGGAATTATTGACACGTACTTTACTTATTACTAATCTAGAACCGTCCATTAACTGTTCTTTCTGCTGTTCTAAATTATCTCCAGCCTGGTAGAGTGTTCCATCTTCCAACTKGATTACAARWTTTTGCTGCCCATAATGTTCGATATACCCAATGGCCGAGACAGTATAGGTCGAGCCAAGTGGTAATTCTGCCAAATTCTTTAAATGTTTATAGGGAACCATGTCTTGTCTCGCTAGTGTATTTAGTGTTCCCGGCACATCGGTAGATCTACAGGTGAGAATGTTCTCCATTTGCGCCGTCTGTTCCTCTATTTCTGTTGCTAGTTTTWGCTGCAAGGTCTTTATGCTGTGTTTTTCCATTTCCTGTGTTAATCTTAAGTTACAGAAGACAACGACATGCCTTTGTGGGGTTCGTCCCCACCCTGTTATGTTTAACACCGCCAGCGGTTTGTTGTACAATGTTAGATAGTTACGCCTAGGGTCTCGAATCTGCTCCTTTTTTGCGTCAGAGAAGTTCTCCTGTAGGTAGGTTTCGATATGTTTGTTGGAATAGCACAGACCTAGTGTTCCCTGTTCTTTGTTTGTTTCGATTAACATGATAAATTTCTGGCCGAATTGGGTTTGCTTCTCTCGCATAGCCATAACATTATAGGATCCTACAGACAACTGTTTTAGTTGGATGATTTCATTGTCAGAGAAAATACTGCTGTAATCATCGAGTAATTTTATCCTTTCTTTTTTCTCTGCAATAGCGGCTTCGAAGGGTTTTCGACATTCTTGTATTTGTATTGCCGCTTGTTTTGTAATGCTTTGTACTTGTTCCCTGCGTGTTTTATCGGATGCTCGACGGGGTTTTCCGGTACCAGTGACGGGTAATTTGACTGTTAAGTCATCTGCTCTAGATAATTCTAAGTCAGCCTTACAGTTCTTGTTTCCTTTGACATGGGCGAGGTAAGGTGTACAGTGTTCGTGTGGAACTAACCCAGAATTTTCCAACAACTGTAGGTTCTTTTCTTTGCTCTCGTCGTTMCAGCTGTAAACACCCCCTTTGGAGACTAGTCTGGTAGCAAAATACAAACTAGCATTACTGCGATGTTTAAAGTAGCGAGCTCCAGAGATATCCAGGAAAACATCCTTGGCTTTGTCTTTTCCTTTGCTAGCAACAGTTTTAATTCGATCACACACCTCGATAATGTCTATGGGTAACTTTGCGCCCAGAGTCAAATTTGCGAGACACCAGTTCTCTTTGTCAGACCATTTTTCTACAAACTGTCCACTAATGTCCTTGGTCTTGTCATTGTATGTGTAAACTAGTAATCCAACATCGCGTGACCTGTCAACCACGACTAAGCTGTGTAGCATAGAGTCACAATACGCTCTCCAGGTGTCTGCAAATGGAGTTGAGTAGACTAGACTTGGTGCCACATAGTCCGTTATACGGATAAGAGTGCTCTCCATAAACTCGTCACTAGGAACACTATCTTTGCAGTAAAAGGTAACTTCTGCACGCGTTAATCCCCGATTCTTGGCTAGGTTTCGTGCGTTAGCAAGCCGTGTTTCTCTCTGACAGACCCAATCTTTCCAGTGCTGTCCAACGGTTTCTCTTACGCTTTTGCTCTCCAAMATTTGTACCATWTTGTTGTAAATTTTACAGCGAGTTGTCATTCCATTTACTGTTTCCATATAGGTCAGACAGTTATTGCCCACTTGATCGCTGTTATCGAGAATTGTTCTGTCATCTTCTGCCTCGCAGCCTTGGATACGAAAACCTTTGGTAGAGGTCAGAAAGTGAATAACTTCTTCTTTGTCAAAGCTGCCACTGTAATCCATRGTTAAGTCAATATCCTTTAAGAAAATGTTTCTTAATATGTAGTCATCGGAGCGTAAAAACTTTAAAACTTCAAAATATTCTTCATCTGCGCAGGCAATTTTAAATTCTTGTCTGTAGTAAAGGGTTTCTTCGGTCTCCTTCGATTTTAATCTTCCGTAGACGTTTTCCAATTCTTCGTCGCGTGGTTGTCTTTTTAATGGTGATAAAGCGATGGCTTTGACTTTACACTTCTGCAAGCCATGCCGGGTCAGCATATCTCGAATGTGCTTGTTGACCACACCGACTTCTGTATACGTTTTCTTTGCAGTCACAAAGTAGTCTGGTACAAGGACGTAGAGAAGAAAGTTATCCACAAACTTCTCACTGCACGAGWTAAATCCGACGCCTTCCTGCTTCCCATACTTGTTGTAGTTAACAGCACCGGTTCTATTTAGGGAATTTTCTTGGGCAATTTTTTCTAAAAGGACAGTAC